CAACGGGCAGAGCCTTTGCCCCCCCACCCCCACCCCATGGTGCTGCTGGGTGCCTTTGGACCGGTGCCCCACAGCCAGTGCCACCCCCCCGCCCGCTGTCCCCAACCCGCGGTGGCCATCGCCACGGGTGCCCTGATCAGGTGCTGTCCCCCTCCCATGGTGGCCAGGTAGGATGGGTGCCCCATCACCATCCCTTCCCGTGGTGGCCCAGTGGGATGGGTGTCCCATCGCCGTCCCCCTCCCGCAGTGGCCCAGTGGGATGGGCACCCCATGACCAGTGGCAGTCACCAGCACTGTCCCCATTCCACGGTGGCCAAGCAGGATGGGTGCCCATGATCAGCCCCATCCCCATCCCGTGGTGCTCAGGAGGGTCGGGCGCCCTGTAACCCGTGCCAATCCCATAACCGGTGCCAGCCCCATAGCCAATGTCACCCCATCCTGCAGTGTCTGAGCAGGGTGGGCACCCCATAGCCAGGACCATCCCCATCCTGTGGTGGCCAGGCAAAGCAGAGCAGGCACCCCATCGCCATCACCATCACTGTCCCCATCCCGCAGTGGCCGAGTGGGATGGGTGCCCCATTGCCATCACCGTCCCCATCCTGTGGTGGCCAAGCAGGATGGGAGCCCCATCGCCATCACTGTCATCATCCCATGGTGGCCAAGCAGGATGGGTGCCCCATTGCCATCCCCATCCCCATCCCACGGTGGCCAAGCAGGATGGGTGCCCCATTGCCATCACCGTCCCCACCCCGTGGTGGCTGAGCATGATGGGTGCCCCATCACCATGACCATCCCCATCCCACGGTGGCCAAGCAGGATGGGTGCCCCATTGCCATCCCCATCCCCATCCTGCAGTGGCCAAGCGGGGTGGGTGCCCCATCGCCCTCACCGTCCCCATCCCACTGTGGTGGGTGCTGTCACTGATCCCTTGTCCCCGTCCCCACCCGCAGACGGGGTGCACAGCGCGACGGCCCAGTGCACGCTGCGGGTGACGGTGATCACGGACGAGATGCTGAGCAACAGCATCACCCTGCGCTTGGCCGACATGTCCC